AAGGAGCAAATGAAGCCCACACACTACTAGAATTTGAAAGATAGAAATTCAGATTAGTTGTGATTTTTTTTTATCCTGAAATTACACAATTTTCTTTATACTGCAAGAAGAAACTAAATATCACAAGAGATTTATTTTATTTCTGCCTAGAATATAAGCAAAACACTTCAAACTGGTAAGACTGTCCTTTAATGGAAAGACTGTTTGGAGGTCTGGGGATGAGATATAAAATATTTTGCTTGGTGAATATTTCAAGGTCAGATATTCCTCTTAAAAAAAAAATAAAGGAACGCCACAGAATCCTCCAAATCCACCACAGCAAAAAATGTTTAAAAACCAGCAAGGAAAAAACAAGTCACAAATCAAAGTTTTCCTATCCTAGCAAAAGCCTGGTCACTGTGGGAAGAGATGATTTTCCAGGAGTTGTGGTTAATAGGTAAACATAAAGGAAGTTGTTTTTTTTTCTATTTTTAGCTTTGAAGCGATTTCATGGCTCTTCAGAGTCTCGAAGGGAGATGGAAGACATCCAGCGGGAATCCTCTGCCTTGGATGGGGAGAAGCCCAAGAAGCCCTGGCAGTTATTCACCGACCGTGGTGTGAGATGGCAGCTCATCACCGTGATTGTGATGACCATGGGCCAACAGCTCAGTGGGATAAATGCTGTAAGGTTTCATATGAATTAACAGCTTAAAGAGTGATTTGAATCCCATCTGTTTTTCAGCCATTTGTTAACACAAAGGATCCGCTTAGAGAAGCTCAGAGAAATGGGATAAGTGGGAAAGGATATCCGTGCATTATTTCAGTGTTTCTCTTTTTTTTTTTAAATTTTTTTTCTCATTTTTGTGTTTGTGGTATGCAAATTTCTTTAAAGAATGACTTGATAGTTGTGTTTACATTGTTCTGAAAAAGGAAATAAATGTGGATCACCTTATCTCTTTGTGTCTGGTTTAGGAATATGAAGCATTACAAAGTTGAATAATTTTACTTGCTTCTCTGATAGCAATATACTTACACAGACATGAATTTAACACATTCCTTTTGGTGCTTATGTGGGATTAGTAACTCGCAATATAAAATACATTGAACTGTGTGCTTAGTATGAGCTAGACTTTGTTTCCAGTCAATGTTTTAACTACCAGGAAGGCCTCATTGTTGTTTTTTTTTTCTGTTGTAGATTTATTTCTATGCAACTTACATTTTTGAAGCAGCTGGGATCTCAGCTGAGAAAATCCCGTACGTGACACTTGGCACTGGAGCTTGTGAATGCCTCACAGCCCTCTCCTGTGTAAGGAGCAATTTGTTCTACCTCCCAGCACAGAGAGTAATGATGCTTCTTGAAGAACATTGGTAAAAATGAGATCAATATATTAACAGAAGATTATGTCTTATCCACAGGGTTTACTGATAGACTACGTGGGAAGAAGATACCTCATCATTGGGGGTTATCTCCTCATGACCCTCTGGTGCACTGTTCTAACCTTGTCTCTGACTTACCAGGTGCAAAGGACTCATTCCTATTACATGATGTGATTGTAGTGAGTGAAAAGTGACAGGATAAGGGGGAGTGGGTTTAAACTGTAAGAGAGTAGGTTAGATTGGGTATTAGGAAGAAATTCTGCCCTGTGAGGGGGTGAGGCCCTGGCACAGGTTGCCCAGAGAAACTGTGGCTGCCCCATCCCTGGAAGTGTTCAAGGCCAGGTTGGACAGGGCTTGGAGCAACCTGAGATAGTGGGAGGTGTCCCTGCCCATGGCAGGGGGGTGGGAACTAGAGGATTTTTAAGGTCCCTTCCAACCCAAACCATAACTATGATTATGTGATTCTGTGATACAATTTAGTAAAAATTATTGAATGAACACTATTTAAATTCTCCAAAGCAGTACTGTTAAATGAATTAGCTGTAAACAGTCATGAGTGACTGCTGTCTTACTTTCAGTAACATACAAAATGAAATGTAACTGTTAAGCTGAACTTTAAAACTGGCTTATCAGAATCTGAACTAAACCTTCTCATTCTTTTCTGTTCCAGGACCTGTACTCCTGGGTGCCTTACGTGAGCATGATGTGTATATTTGCCTTCATCTTGAGCTTTGGGCTGGGACCAGGTACTGCACAGGAATGTGTGTCCAAGTGGTGGAAGGTTTGGGAGGGAAAGGGGGTGTTGGCAGTGCTGCTGTGCTCACCAGGCAGGACGTCTTCACGGTGCAGCTGCTGGTGCTCTGCCCAAGGAACCCAAGTGACCCCATCCTGTAGCCCAAAACTGAGGCTTACCATGCACCCTTCTGGGGCAGCTATGTGTGAGAGAGGGCTTAGTTCTGGCCTTGAGAACACAGGAGTTATTCACAGAGCAAGAAACAAGCTGTGACCCCTCAGATGGGGCCCTGCTCCCTGAGCAGTGTTGCTGAAATGCAGCTGTTTTATTGGCTCCTTCCTGCCAGGGCAGTAGCCTCAGAAGTGCACTGTTAGGAATCATAATAGATCAGCTAGTGGCATGTTCAAAAGCAACTCATTTTTTTCTGGCATTAGACATACCACAGATGGACATTTAGCACAATACTCTGTTCTCTTTCTGACCCGTTCCCAGGTGGCATAACCAACACCCTGATAGCTGAGTTATTTGTACAGTCCTCACGTCCTGCTGCTTACATGATTGGAGGGACTCTTAGCTGGATTAGTTTCTTCACAATTGGAATGCTCTTTCCCTTTATAGTGGTAAGTATGCACAGCACAATTTCCTGATGGTTGCTCCCAGGTTCCATCCCATTGCTTATATTGTATTATATGCACTTGTATATATTATTCAGTGACACTTGAACAGGATGCACACTGCCCCTCAAATGAGTTTGACTAGATTCATTCAGTCTTAAAATATTTTTTAGATCTCACAGAAACAATAAAACATGATAAATGAAAATTAAAAGGAATGCATGGGGGGTAATTCTCATGTTCAGATTTAAAAAATGAAAAAAGTGTCAAAAAAAGAAAAAATCAGATATTGAGATTCAGATAAGACATTTCTTAACAGTGCCTTGTGCTTTTATGGCAGAGTAAAATCAAGGTAGTACCTCTGATGGCCACCTCTGAGAGCTCACTGAACTGACAGAGGGTTTTGTGATCAGATTATTAGGAAAGGCAACAGAGGGTTTCATGTCCAGTTTTGTATCTTTTAGCACTTGCTCTTGAGAACAAAACCTGCAGGAACATCATGCAGCAGAGTATTTGGGTCTGCCTGTTCTTTCTTTGTGGTTGAGCTGTTTCTCAATAAGACAGTCGGGGTTTTTTAATGTATAGCACTGAAAAATGTTAATATTCCAGAAAAAGGTAAATCATATAATCTTAAAATACGTGACAGCTAAAAAGCAAGTGTTGAGTTTTTCCCTAGACTGTGAATTGTTTAGTGTTCAAATGGCTTATCTTATTTTTTTCAAATAAAAGACTACCCAGTCTATTGATAGCACTTGATAGCACTTGATAGTCTTTTATCTAAAAAAAATAAAATTTTAAAAAGTTACATGTAAAGGATAGATTTCATGACTTTATTAAAAATATCTGAGCAGCACTGTTAGGTGTGAATGGAAATAAAAAGCTGCTTGTTTCTCAAACCTGCTGTTACACTTGAAATATGTTGCAATCAATTCATTTTCAGAATGGACTGAAGCAGTATTGTTTTCTGGTGTTCTTACTGGAGTGCTCCTTTGTTGCTGCTTTCATCTTCTTTGTAATTCCTGAGACAAAAAACAAATCTTTTCTGGAAATCAAAAAGGAATTTCACAAGCTTAATTTTGGAAGAAATACCAGAAAAAAGGAGACAGAGCTTTATGAAAGAACACAACTTCAAGATGAATTTTTAAAAAGTCCTTCATAATTTTATGGCTGTAACAGAACTTCAGTGAGAATTATGAACTAACTTAGGAGTGTAATACATGATCAAATGCCTTATTAAATTCTCCCGTGTATTTAGGGGAAGTGTAACTAAAGGCAAGTTAATATTGCTGAAATGCTGTTAAAACATGTATTGCTGACATACTATTAGCAACATATTATATATTATCCATAGAAGACTTGACATTTAACTGTAACCTGATGCTGTAGGGATGCAGAAATGCCAGGGAGGATGTTCAGTGAACTCCCTGGCAGATTTCTGTGGATAATTCAGTGGCTCTTCTTGCATTTCAAAGCCCCATCTTCAGTTCTGCTCATTGGGTGCATCCAAATGGTTCACTGAGTAAAACACTGAGTTCTTGTTAAAACCCAAACAAGAACTGACCTGCTGAAAACTGGTATTTGAAATATTCCAGTTTATGTAGAAATAGGGGTATTTAGTTGCCATTTTTCACTCTTTCTTTACCCAGTCCTACTACTGTAACTGTACAACAATGGTATAGCACCTCTCTGAATTACTGGTATTTGTAATAAAGACTTGTATCCTAATAAAACAGTTTCTGGGGTTTGAATTTGGGTTTTTTTTTTTCCCCTAACCTAGCATCTTAACATTTTAAACTATGCAACAGGGTAAAACCTCTTCTAGTCTTAAAGGTCAGTTCTCGTCAGACTGAGATCAACATACCAAAAGCATTCAGTAGTGGAAAGCACAGATGACAGGAACTAAATACTTTTTACCTCATAAGAATTTTCAAGATGGTGTGAGAGAACACACACAAGGGGACTGCAGAAAGCCTGCAGGACATACTGAATGAGCTTTCTGCTTATCTCTAGCATTTTGTCCAGGACTCTTTCTCAACTTAAAATACATTCTCCATATTTCAGTAAGTAAAAAATCTCACTTATATACGATGTTTGTGTGCCTTTCTGACCCTTGTTTCCATACCTGTAGCTGCCAGGACAGTGGCCCACCTTACCCAGTACAACTTCTCCTGGTTGTAAGCATTTTCAAATGCCATCTCTTACTGAAGTGCTGCAGCAAGCACTGCATTTTACATTTATTTTCCTCCTCTCAGAATTAAAGCTTCTAATGGAAACACAGGAAACAAACACCATTTGTCTGATTTTGATAACTGTTTAATTGAAAATAACATTAACTATTAATCCCAAAGGAGGCAGCATCAGGAAGGGATCTTCTTGGTCTTTAGTTTATCCTCTAAGTTTGCAAAATATTTCATTTTTCCTAGAAGCTTCTTAGCTTCTTGAAGATCATCTGAAATGAAATAAACATTTAACAGAGGGAGAGCTGGATTTGCATTTTCAAAATGACTCTCAAGATTTCAATGACAGTAGCTGTTTCACTACTAAGAGCTGTGAGCTGCAAGGGCCCAGACACTATTAAAACCACATTGCCTATTATTTTAAGCAGGACTTTCTTTCCAGCTGCACAGCTTCCATGGTAATGGAATCGTTCCTGTCTTGTCACTGCACAGAGCAGCTCCAAGGCTGCAGGACAACATCTCCCAAATTCCAGTGTAAAATCTCAGAATAGGTCTAAGAGTGTGTTCTTCACAGTATTCTGGGAAAGACACAATTTCTTACCATCTGCATTCCCACTTAAAGTGATTATTTTGATGCAAAATTAATTAAATGGAACTTTTGTACTGGATTTTGTTTTTAATGTGAGGTCCTGAATTCCTGAATCAGCAGAAAGATCAGTTTAGAAGTTCTTATTCTAAATACCACACAAAGAACCCTTGTTGATGTAGTATTTCTGTTCTATAGTTCAGGAAATATTTGCCAGTGAGAGAATGTGGGGTTTTAAGCATTTGACAGCAGCTAAATACTTCATAAAAACAGGTACCTCTTTCGAAAGCTGCAGTCAGCTCTCTGGTCAGTTCTTCTTGTTTAACTGCAAAACAAATGATTTAATTCACTTTTTGTTACATACTTAGTATATTTTATACCACTGCATTCCAACTGCCTGTGGTGGGAAATTTCATTACTGGTCTCAGTCTCTGGCAGCTAAGAGAGTTCTTCATAATACTGCTGTCAATGTTTTAATTATAATTTCAAATTAAAGAGGTTTACAGACAGGAATTCCAATGCCTATCAGTGGTCACTAACTTCCCAGCAATCTAACTTATTTTGGGTCTATCAGTTTACCCTGCTACAGTTAATTTTCTCCTGTTCTACTCAGTTTTTATTTTAATTATTCTAATTGCTTTTGGCACACTACACTTTGTTATTGTAAAGAATTAAATATATCAGTAAACCAAATATTCTGGTATCACCGACAACATAAAAAGAAAGTTGCTTGTGTAAGGACAATAACCACTTAATATAATGGTAAGTTAAAGAAGGTGAAAGAAATACAATGTCTATGTAAATGACATTATTTAATATCATCAGACAAGCATTTTATTCAACTTCATTTTGAGTGATTCTTTCTTTGGAACAGTTGACTTGCCCTGATCTGCCAAAGATTGAGTAAATTCCTTTTTATAGTCTATATATACTTATTTTGCCATCAGAATAGGTTCTATTATACAGATGTTCTCAAGCCAGATGTGATGTTTAGGTGCATAAATAGGTAAAGACAATACTGGGGAAGGGGACCAGGGCAGAAGCACCTACAGTGAATCGATTGCAGACTTACACAAGTTGAAGACACTACAAGAAACACACCAAAACAGACAGAAGCTTTCAAAAAGACTCTTGTGTTACAGAAGATATAAATTATTTCTGTACAAATCCCTCAAATAATAACCTACCTTTAATTAAAGTTTCAATTTCTTCAATGATATCCTCATTTTTGGACTCTGCTAATTTCTCATTAATTTCCATGATTTCCATGAGGAACGCTGAGTCTGCATCACAGTCTGTCTCTTGTGCTGGCTCCACTCCACTCAGCTCCAGCTGGCAGAGGAAGTGGAAATTTGAAAATAAGCACTATTACATCTAATTCAACGGGAATTATTAAGTTTTTTAGAGGGGCCCGCTCAGATTCGTATCTGATAAACGTGTATTACATGAAAGGTGCATAAACAGAATCAGTCTGAAAATTAGCTCCATACACAGGCTGACCATAAAAATCAGCAAGTCAAAAAATATAACAAAGGCTGCCAGACTGAAATTCCATATGAGCAGCCGTGGCCAAACACAACATGTGACGTGGGAAAAAAAAAGTGTAATGTGAGCAGCAAATGTGATGATAAGCTGATTAATTTTTGGACAAGCTTGTTTTTGGTCTCCCTTCAGTCCCTGGTCATCCTCTGCTTCAGAGGAATGTGAATCAGCACGTTAAGGATGGAGTGGAAGGTCCGGTCCCTCACAGCACCCCCAGCCCCTCTGGTGAGTTACAGGGACACTGATAACACCTAATGGAGACCTTACTAGATAGAGGCCCCGGCTCAGAGGGTTCAGCAGGGTCTGGTAGGCCTTGTTGATCAGGGAAGAGTGTTGCTCAGAGTAATACTGCTCTTTCTGCAAGTGGATGACAAATAATTTGAAGTTAATAACAAGTGACAGAATACACTTTGTTACATGCGGAAAA